CAGCAACGGTAAAAACAAGCTAACATCCAGCTGGTGGCAGCAGTGAAATTTGGAAGGCAGGGTTCAGTTGCCTCCATTCCCTCTGAGAGTACAGGCTGCATCCCAAACTGCCCCAACTCCTGGTGTTGTGGAAAGTCCATTTTAATTATGCTTGCAGCTTACAATGGAAAAGCAATGACTGGGTCATGCTAGGAACAACCCATGTGGCTCATTGATCCCTGTAGTTTTGAAAAGAAGGCTACTCCTATCATGAAAGAAGTTACTTTTGTCTCTAGCTCCAGAGCACAGCATTATTTCTGGTGTCATTTTTTTCTTGTATACCATTCCAAACACATTGTCAGATGTGACAAACATAATTTATTCAACAATTCCATTGGGAACCCCAAGAGTGGAACCCATGACCACCTCCCTCTTTAATTACTGTCAAATGCCTAGTAATTCATTCTTCTTGTCCAGCTCCCTGTGGGATTCATGAGCCACAAACAAGATTTACAGCAAACACTGTTAAGCAAAGGCAACCAAGACTGTTATAAATATACCCAGCACCATGTGGGGCAGGGGAAAGGGACTGGTAGCAGAAACAGTCCTCCAGTGTGATCTCTAATAGTTTCTATTATTCACTCCAAGGCTCAAATAAAGAAGGCTGTTAGTCATCAAGACACTATATATAGTGTTGTAAAAGAAAATAGCAGAATTTCCGTGTAAAAAATAAAATTATCCTTGTAGTGAGGATGGTGGTTTTAGTGGTCTTCCTGCTGGCACTGCTTCCTCACAAGTTATGGACATCTCATGCTGCTAAATGTAGGGTTTGTGGTCCACGTTACCCACAACACATGTACCATCAGTCAGGAGACCTCATCATTGGTGGCATTGCAACTCATGGTAGCTTTTTCGACAGTTCAATAGCTTTCACTGAAGACCCTCCACCAGCATTGCTTGAAGATTTCTTGTAAGCACTTATTCTTTATTTGTTTTAATCTCTTTGTATTTTGTCACTGAAATGAGCAGTGGTAGAACTACAGTCTATAAACAGTGGCTTCTTGTCTTAGATGTATAAAAAGGTAATACATTAATAGAAACCCCCCCACCCCCCAGGGGGATACATTTAAGCCTTTAGAAGTTATTTTATTTCTCTTCACTATATCTTTCATTGGCTGTGTTACCAAAATTTTGCTGTGATTTCTTTGTTCCATCATATCTCTCACTTCTTTCTATTCTCACACTTTTGTTCTACTATCTTAGCATAGGGCATATTAGACTCATGTTATCAAGAAACCCTATTGTAAAATGTATCCCTTAGTGTTTAATGCTCAGAAACATCATTCTGCACATGACTGTGCAGTGCAAGTGTTTATGGAAGCATGACAGAGAAAGTGAACAATAACACTAGATAGTCTCATGAACAGAAAGTGTAAGTGTAAAAAAAGGGGAAGGGTAGGAGAGCCTACTTAATGTTGGTTCAAGGAAAAAAGTACAAAGAGGGAGAATTTCCTTTGATGCCAAGAGCCAAGTTTAAGGCAAGTACTGTTTGGTGAGAGAACCTCAGAAGAGATTTTAATTCACAAAATAGGCAGCAAAGTAAAGAGTGGAAATATAGGCTCTAAATTGTTTAGGATACACCTTTCCAAGGGAGTTCCAAAATTGCCCTTTATAAAAGTTCCTTTCAAAGATTCCCTCTTCCCCAGCATAGGAAAAGACCACATGTGGAAAGTTTTTTTTTTAAAAAAATGCTTACTTAACAAACTCTCCACGGGTCAAATTAATGTGCTGTTGCATATATGAGTCAGAAATGCTGCAAAGGGAGTAAGATGTGGCTTTATAACCAAATGATCAAAGTTTATAAATTATTAGTATAAGAACATGAAAATGGCTGGTGACAGCTGTGTGGCTGAGCTGGAGCAACCATCTCAGACGGCATTGCATGCTGAATTCTCAGGTAGACTGGGGGGAGGAACAAAGGCTTGATTACCTATTTCCTCCTCAGGCAAGGGGAAGTGACAAAGCTACTTACCCCCAAGGTAAGGGGAAGTGACTCCCATGCTAGCTAGGAGAACAATCAGTTACTTATCAACTAGTTAAAGCTCAGAGACGGTCCTTCTTGTTTCTCTAAACCTTCAGTGGAATCTTCCAGTTAAACCTTTTCACCATTACACAGGCATTCCCATTTTCAGTGTGAATTAAACCAATTGTACTTAACAAAGTGCTTCATCTATTGTTAGGCTCTCTGCTTTCTGTCCGAGCAGTCCCAATGGGCGGCACCTACCACTGCTCCTGGGAAACAGAAACAAACCACAGCTTGCTTTTGTATATGCAGGCTGGGCACAAAATCACAATTTGTCATCTCACAATTTGGCTCGAGATGGTAATAAAATAATAATAATGAGGAAGAAGATTCAGAACATAGTGGTTTATTATTATTATTATTTAGGTGTGGAATAGTTTGATACAGAATGCAACTATCATTCTAGTGCAGTGCCAAAGAATTACCAACACATTCTGGCCCTGGAATTTGCAGTGAATGAGATAAATGAAGACCCTCTGATCCTACCCAATATCACCTTAGGTTTCAACATCTATGACAGCTATTTCAAGGCAAAGCAGACCTACTATTCTACAATGCTACTTTTATCTACATTGGAGAGATTTGTTCCGAACTACAAATGTGACATCCAGAATAAGCTGACTGCAGTGATTGGAGGACTAGACTCCAAAATCTCTGTTGCAATTGCAAATATCCTCGATATCTATAAGATTCCACAGGTAGGTAAGGCACACATGCTCATTTGTATGTGGGAATAGTGCATAATTAATATTATTTATTTATTTATTTATTTATTTATTTATTTATTTATTTCAGATATGTATATAATGGTTAATGCTTGGATTTTTTATGGATGTACATAAATAATAATTAGAATTAGAATTCATCATAGAACCAAAAACATTGCTTTTCATGCTTTTAAATGTTTTGTGGAATAGAAAAGATTTTAAAGTGCAAAGGAAGCACATCAGGGACAGAGCAAGAAGGGAGGTCCACTACCCAAGTGTTGGGGGAATTTTGGGGTTCAAGCCCAATGTCTTTGGCTGCCTGGAACAGTCAACAGAATCCAGACACCAATTTTTCATAAAATGAGACATTTGTTTCGGCAATGAGACATAGGTGGATACAAATATGCAAGGTCTCCTGTTTGTATGCATTGCACACCATAATACATTGCAGTAAACACTGCACATATATATTTATATCTTTTAAAAAATATTTGTTTCTGACTGCTTGTGAAAGAGCATGAGTTCTGAGGAAATACACTAAGTTCTTTCCCCAACCGTAAAAGGAATTTGCTTAGACCCTATTGTCTCTTGGTCAGCCCTTTATCTTTAGCATGGGATAATAACCACTGACTTTATGAGGTTGGCGTACACTTTGTGTCTTAATGCCAGGGCTGGAGAACCTTTTTCAGCCAAAGGGCCTTATCTTCTTGTACGCAAAATTTTGAGGGCCACATGGTGGTGGTGGGCTGGGAAAGAATAAGAAGTCAGTGGGTCAATGAATGTAAAGTTTAACTTTGTAGTGTAGGCTAGTTTCGAGACAAAGAGGCATTATCATAGATTAAGGACTCACTCTAGCTAGGCAAAAACACTCATTGTAAGAAGCAGGGCCAGTGGCAGGTGTGGCCTGGGGGAGAGTTCTGAGTTCTGAGACACAGATAAAGAGGCCTAGAAAGCTGCTTTTGATGCCTAGGCCTGAGTTTCCAGACCAGTGGGTGGCGCTGTGGTCTAAACCACAGAGTCTAGGGCTTGCCGATCAGAAGGTCGGTGGTTCGAATCCCTGCGACAGGGTGAGCTCCCATTGTTCGGTCCCAGCTCCTACCAACCTAGCAGTTCTAAAGCATGTCAACGGGCAAGTAGATCAATAGGTACCACTCTGGCGGGAAGGTAAATGGCATTTCCGTGTGCTGCTCTGGTTCGCCAGAAGCAGCTTAGTCATGCTGGCCACATGACCCGGAAGCTGTACGCCAGCTCCCTCAGCCAGTAAAGCGAGATGAGCGCTGCAACCCCAGAGTCGTCCGTGACTGGACCTAACGGTCAGGGGTCCCTTTACCTTTATCTTTACACATGAAACTACAGCTTAAAAATTGCTATACTTATCTCTCCTTAAATCTTTGCCTCTGTTCAGCTCGTGTATGGTTCTGCTCCAGTGATGAATGATAAAGCCCCAGGACTTTCTTTCTTCCAGATGACCCCTAAGGAAACTCTTCAGTATTCAGGGATGCTCTCTTTATTACTGCATTTCAGTTGGATATGGATTGGGGTCATTGTAATGGACACAGACAATGGAGAGAGATTTCTGCAAATAGCAGTTTCACTGTTCTCCCAGAATGGTATTTGTTTTGCCTTCATAGAAGTGCTCCCCTTTTCAATTTCTTTCACTGAATTTGATGATAAATTAGAACATGGGTCAAAAATACACGCTAAAGCCATGAACAGCAAAGCCAATGTAATAGTGTTTTATGGAGAATCTAATGCTATGATGTATCTGAGATGGTTTCCATATCTGTCAAAAGAGGAACATGAGACAAATATATCAAGAGGGAAAGTGTGGATACTGACAGCCCAGATGGAGCTCACTTCATTGGCCTTTCAAAAGAATTGGGATACAGATATAATCTTTGGTGCTCTGTCATTCACAATTCACACCACTGACCTACCAGCGTTCAAGCCATTTGTTGAGAGCATCAGTCCTTCCAGGACAAAAGGAGACAGTTTTATCAGAGACTTCTGGCAGCAGGCTTTTGGCTGTGTATTCCCAAATACTGTTTTGGAGAGGGGAGATGGATATATTTGTACTGGTGATGAGAAACTGCAGAACCTTCCTGGAACGTTTTTTGAAGTGAGCATGACTGGTCACAGTTACAACATCTACAATGCTGTCTATGCTGTGGCCCATGCTTTGCATGCCATTGCCTTGTCTAGAGTGAAACACAGTGCAATAGTGGATGGAAGGGTTTTGAAGTTTCAGAATCTCCAGATGTGGCAGGTAGGGGCATGAACATCATCATATAACTTTGCATGGTATCTTAGGTCTTACAAAAGGCCTCCAGTGTAGAAACCTATTCCTCATATTCTTTGCATGGTATCTTAGGTCTTACAAAAGGCCTCCAGTGTAGAAACCTATTCCTCACATTCTTCCTGTGCTCACATTATCATCACTCTTTCTCTCCAAATCATATTAAAGCTATAGAAAAGTAAAAGTATAGGGCGTTTATAAACATGTGCAATTTATCAAGCACAAATACTTGGGGAGTTTTTTGGAGCTGCAAATGCAATAGCAACTTTGCTGCAGAGCTTGGCAATCCAAATGACATTCTGTAACTAGGCTAGGAGTAACCTTTCTGTAGCTGTGAGAAAAAACTGTAAAAATTTATGGCATAACATGACTTTCTCAGATAGTTGGTGTTGGCTGCTGTCAAATTATTATAATTTATTATTTATTAAATTTGTATACTTTCCTGTACCTGTAGATCTCAGGGCAGTTCACAACATAGAATTACAATATAAAAAAAACCACAAAATACATTCCCACACAAAACATTTAAAAAGGCATCGGGTGTCAATCAACCAAAGGTCTGGTTGAAGAGGAATGTTTTTGCCGGGCACCTAAAGGTATATAAGCCAAACCTCCCTGGCAAGAGCATTCCACAAACAGGGAACCACTGCAGCAAAGGCCCATTCTCATGTTGCCATCTTCTGGACCTCGCGTGGAGGAGGAACACAAAGAAGGGCCTCAGATGATGTTCTCAGGGTTCATGTGGGACGCAGGTGGTGCTGTGGTCTAAGGCACTGAGCCTCTTGGGCTTGCCGATCAGAAGGTTGGTGGTTTGAATCCCCGTGATGGAGTGAGCTCCCATTGCTCTGTCCCAGCTCCTGCCAACCTAGCAGTTTGAAAGCACGCCAAAAAGTACAAGTACATAAATAGTTGCAGCTCCGGTGGGAAGGTAAACGGCATTTCCATACACTGCTCTGCTTTCAGTGTTGCACCAAAAACGGCTTAGTCGTGCTGGCCACATGACCCGGAAAGCTGTCTGTGGAGAAACACCAGCTTCCTCGGCCTGAAAGCAAGATTAGTGCCACAACCCCATAGTCACCTTTGACTGGACTTAACCATCCAGGGGTCCTTTACCTTTACCTTTTTACCTATGGAGAGAAGTGTTGAGGTTTTGCGATCCTCAGAAATTAAATGTACTTTGAAATTCGATCTGGAAACTAATTGGCAGCCATTGCAATCAGGCCATATGCTCAAACCGTCTTGCTCCACTGAGCAACCTGGCCCCTGATTTCTGCACTAGCTGAAATTTCTGAACCATCTTCAGGCTGTCTTTCCTCTTTGTGGTTTCTAAACTTACAGCATGAGCAGCCTAAATTCATGTAATTTTGTGGATTCACATAGAGATTCCTCCATCCCATTCCATGGCAGCATTCTGATGCCACAATTAGACCTTAATTTGCAAAATCCATCTCTAGACATTCTTAAATATCTATTTAAGATATTTGCCTTTTCTTTTCCAATCTAGCTCCATCAATTTTTGAGAAGTGTCTCATTTAACAACAGTGCTGGGAACAGGATTTCTTTTGACCATAATTTGGAATTATTAGCAGAATTTGATGTTATCAATTGGATAGTTTCCTCAAATCAAACCTTTCACAGAGTGAAAATTGGGACGGTGGATCCTGACAGACCTTCAGACCGAGTCCTGACCATAAATGAAGATGCCATCACATGGCACAAGTGGTTTAACCAGGTAGGATCTGACTGTTGGCAGCTCTGGAGATCTCCCATTTTTGAATAGTACTGCCTCTCTGCGTGGAAGTGCAAAGCAAATTTCTGTGAACGATTGTGAGCTCTCTTTTAACACTTATGTTAGAAACCAGCCTTCTATACTGCACAATAAATTTAAGCAAATTGGGTGTCACCCAATCAGTTTTCCAAAATCTGTCAAATATCCAAGAAGTGAATGTGGATAAAAATAACAGAATTATTATTAGTATTATTTTTAAAAAAGTTATACAAAACAATGAACTTGTAAAGGAAAAAATAATATGATGCATTGGAGTATATTGAATATTATGTTAAACGGAAGGTTTTTAATCCTATTTGTAAAATACATTGTGTTTTAAATAAATATAATTTGAATTATGAAATACTGTTCATGGGCAGACAGGGGTAATTTATTCTTATGTTTACATTTATACCTTAATCAATATTACTTTTGTTATACAGTTTGGCATGAAAAAATAAACAGCAACAAAAATAAACAAATAATGTGTTATAAATATAGGCATAATACTACAAAATATACAAGCTTTGAATCGCAACTTGTAAGATTGAACCCATTCATACATGAATGAAATGCCTTCTTGCTATAGAGAGTCTTGGGGTGGGGGGACGGGGACTAAATATGTGCCAGTGTGGTGTGGTGGTTAAGAGCGGTAGTCTCATAATCTGGGGAACCGGGTTTGCGTCTCCGCTCCTCCACATGCAGCTGCTGGGTGACCTTGGGCTAGTCACACTTCTTTGAAGTCTCTCAGCCCCACTCACCTCACAGAGTGTTTGTTGTGGGGGAGGAAGGGAAAGGAGAATATTAGCCACTTTGAGCCTCCTTAAAGGGAGTGAAAGGCGGGATATCAAATGCAAACTCTTCTAATAATTTCATACTATGTATTCTCATTAGGCACAGCCTCTTTCTGTCTGTACAGAGAGTTGCCATCCTGGTTTTAGGAAGAAAGGGAGGGAGTCGGAGGCATCTTGCTGCTATGATTGCATCCCTTGCCCAGTAGGAGAAATTTCTAATCAGGAAGGTATGAAATATATTATTTAGGTTTATCAAAAGAATGGGTGTCATTCAAAGGAGTATGCTTATAACTGTGAATGCTTTAAGGTTACTTTTTTGTTCCTTGAGTGATAGGTTTTGTTAAATGGTTTGGTGAGCTGGATCTAAGAAGAAGCTTAGGGAGAATCTGGTCCATGTGGTATCATTTTGACCTGGTGATTGTAAAGAAATTAATTCAGTTAAAATTGCAATGCATTATTAGTAGTGCTGCTCTGCTGATATCTCACCAAAGAAATCACCATTCAAAGATGTTATTGAGGTACACCTCAAAATCGGGATTCTTAAATTAGTGTTGCTCCTTGGCTATAAACTACAAATTGTCTGTTTTTTCTTATGTTTTGTTTTAAAATAGAAAATCCCATAAATAGAGAAATTTGCAGCTATATTTTGCTTTAGCAGCTATCATTCATGTTTTGTGAATGGCACTGCAACAGGCTTTTACTTTGGTCTTTCTTTAAACTGTGCTTGGATGCTGCAGGGGATGAACAAAAGTTCCCCCTTTAATGATCATGGGTCTCCTGCCAGATTTAGGTTGGCACTGTAATCTCAGGCTGCTTAATACATCATTGTTTTTAGTACTAACAATGCTGCTTAATATCACTAAGGCTCTAAACCACATTTGAGAGTACTAGCACAGAACATATATGAATTTGTACAAACAGTTTTGACTTCATGAAAGAAACATTTTTATGCATCGTCTTGAAATGTTATGGCGTATTTGTAAAATAAAGATCTTGGCTTTTCTATTTTAGACATGAATGACTGCATTAAATGTGCTGATGAAAAGTATCCAAACAAAAATCAGGATTTATGTATTCCTAAGTCTGTAACCTATTTGTCATATGGGGAACTGTTAGGACTTGGCTTAACCTGTTTTGCTCTAGCCTTTTATTTCACCACTGCTCTGGTGCTAGGAATATTTATAAGACACCATGACACTCCCATCGTCAAAGCCAACAACCAGAACCTCACCTACACTTTCCTAATCTCTCTCCTGCTCTGCTTCCTTTGTGCACTGCTATTCATTGGGAAACCGCAGAAGATTATGTGTCTCCTCCGACAAACTGCTTTTAGCATCATCTTCTCCGTGGCTGTTTCTTGTGTGTTGGCCAAAACTACCACAGTGGTCCTGGCTTTCTTAGCCACCAAACCTGGATCTAGGATGAGGAAATGGGTAGGAAAGAGGCTAGCCAACTCCATTGTGCTTTTCTGCTCTGTTATTCAAACTGGTATCTGTGCTTTGTGGTTGGCAACCTCTCCCCCCTTCCCAGATGTGGACATGCACTCAGTGACTAAAGAAGTTGTCTTGGAATGTAATGAAGGGTCTGTGACTATGTTTTACAGTGTCCTGAGCTACATGGGCTTCCTGGCAATTGCCAGCTTCACTGTGGCTTTCTTTGCCAGGAAACTACCTGATAGTTTCAATGAAGCCAAGTTCATCACTTTCAGCATGTTGGTGTTTTGCAGTGTGTGGTTATCCTTTGTTCCAGCTTATATGAGCTCTAAGGGCAAATACATGGTTGCTGTGGAGATCTTCGCTATCTTAGCCTCCAGCGCTGGATTGCTAGGCTGCATCTTTTTTCCAAAATGTTACATTATTCTGTTGAGGCCTGAGCTGAACAATAAGGAACATCTAATGAAGAGGAAAGGCAGAATAATTTGAATATAGATTTAAATATAGCACAGAAGTTGCTATGTGTATGTGCCTCCTATACATTGTGTCTACACTGCAGAATATTTCTAAGAGGTTTTTTCCTAAAATGTGACCTAGACAAATATTCACTCAAATTCTGTCAATTTCCTCTAATTAAAAAATTCCAATGGAAAAGTGATCCAAGAATCTTCCTAAATGGATACCACGTATCGAGTAAAGTACATTACATCAACATATATTCACTTACATACTATGCCCACCAAACCTTGTGGCAGGTTGGAAATGCCAAAAAGGAAAACCTAATCATACGAGGCAAATGACCACCACATAACCTGCAGCCACATCACTAGTATAAACAAAAAACTACCCTGTTAAGGGGATTAAATGTTTAGGAAGAAAAAGGCTGTGATGAACACCAAATTATAATATAATATTTATATGATCTTACCCAAATACCAGATGTTAGAAGTGTATTTTTATACTGTAAACCACTCTGTGATAGTCTGATGAAGGTATATAAATTTAATAAATATATAAAAGTAAGATTCACTCATTTTCTGTGTTTTCAAATTCAACCATTTTGCAAAATATTTTGCGAAATAAGTGTGTACAGGAGAATGAAAGCTATCCAAATGTTAACTTATTAGACCTTCAACTGTCAGGCAGTGTTCACATGTTCCATGTTCACAATCTGAGGACAGGTGGGGAGGATTATAGCCATTCACATCTGTAATCAATAAAGTTGTGGCCTATTTGAACCAAA